ACGCAGAGATGGAGTCAAGATAGTTCAACTCAAAGATCAGGCTTTGAATCCTGGCATCCTCTGAATCTCAGGAGCCTTCATTTCTCCATGAGGCTGTGGTTCCCACCCTGCGTTCCTCCTGCCATTCATCAGACCTTCCTGGTTTAGGAATAGCATCAAGCAGGAGCTCTCAGGATGGCTTACATCTTCCGTGTGCATTACTCTATGGATGGAGAATGTGTCGCAGTGCACTGCAATGAATAGCAAGGTTAGTGCCTGAAAACAACTCTGCTGAACATCTTCTACGAATGTGGTCAGGACAGGGGGAACCAGAAGGCCTTTCCTCCAGGAGAGTTTCTTTGCATGAAAAGGCAACTGTTCTCCGAAGCGGGGAAACCTACAACGTTTCCTTTGCTTTGTAACTTGAAATTGAAATTTGCAGTGGAGAGCAGCCATTTCGCAGTGCAGCCTGTGTTAATCAATTGTCCCACATAGCGCTTTTTAATTAAACAGACAACTGGAGTGAATTAGGGCAGGGACAGATGCATGTGGAAATTTAGATTGCAGATGATCGTGGGCTGATGCAGTGAATGCTAGCAGTCAGGAGCTCTCAGATCTGTCACCATCTCAGTCACAAAACCTTCTGTGTGACCTTGGGCACATTTGTAGCCTTGAATCTTCACATATCCCTCACCTACACAATGTATATAGGTCTTCGGGACCCTGTCTGCAACTTTACGTGGTACCTTCCCTTAGGGACTGAATTGTGATTTGGGTTGCCGCCGTGCTACAAAGAGATATTGCAAAAATGCTGTAACACTGCAACTGTTGGAAATATTCTGTGTGCAGGTAGATAGAAGATAGTTACCTAAAAGCTCTCCTGTGGGATATGAGGATAAAGCACGCTGAATCAGATTGGTTCGCGGTTTACATCCACTAAAGATTAATTGATCTCTACCCTACTGATTCACAGCCATTTATTTCGTCCATCTTTGCTTCAAACTAAAGTTGCCTTGTGTTAACTGGGAATGTATGTTTGCTGGCGTCAGGTCTGAAATTGGTTAGCGGTAAATACATAAGAGTTGCCAATAGGAATGTCTCAGCAATAAATGCCCTGTGTTGGGACAGGGCCACTTGTGAAGGTGGTCATATTAATGGTGTGATATTGCTGGAGTGTTTGCTGATTATTGGACATCACTCTGTGAATCCCAAAGCCTGGTATGGATTCCTGAACTTACTCATCCAAAATTGCGTAACATTTCTTAGAACTATTTTTTGTTTGCACTGAAGACCAGCATTTGCATCTAAAATCGGAGTCTTACTGAGCTGGTCAATGTAGAATCATAGAATCATGAGACTGTTTAGGTTGGAAAAGACCTTCAAGATCATCAAGTCCAACCATAAACCTAACACTGCCAAGTCCACCACTAAACCATGTCCCTCAGCACCACATCTACCCATCTTTTAAATACCTCCAGGGATGGTGAATCAACCACTTCCCTGGGCAGCCTGTGTACAGGTTGTCCCTCCTGCCAAAAGTGTATGGTTTGACAGAAAAGACAGAGGGGAGGGAGACAGGACGTCTGTGGAGACAGGGTTATCCACCCCTGCACTACACAGCAAGTCAAGTGACCAAATGACCAGAGCTTTTCTCTCTGGTGCTCAGTCTCATCCAACTGATGGTGCATGTTCTTCTCCATGTTTCCAGTTCTTCTGTTTCAGATGTGCTTTCAGGATGGTCTGTTGGTGGCCACCATGTGAGCCCAATATCCCAATATCCCTACCATATCTCAACTGAACAGGGGTGGTTGAAGCAGCTTGCTGGTTCTCAACTCAAGCCATGCTTCCCCTTGACAGTTATGTGATTAAAACACCAGTAAATTCTGTAGGACTTTTCTTCTTTTTTTTTTTTTTTCCCCATAAGAGGTGCAGCAGGTTCTCATATTCCAACTTTTTTTTTTTTACAGCCAAGACAATTAGAAATATACTTAAAAATTCAGACTGAGAGTCCTCTGTATTCACACAATCCCAAGAGTTGGGACTCACCCCCCCTTCCAGCTTTGCCTCCTCACCTTCCCACCGTGTAGGATGCACAGGAGCACAGAGGAAGATGAAAACAGTGAAAGCCTCAACAGATAATGATTTGGTGACTCATATTTGATGAATGCCTCACAACCAGCTTTACGTGGGGCTGCAGTAGTTTAACTGCTTCAGCCCACTTTGCTTCTAAGGCAGAGAGACAACAGTCCCTTCTGCTTTGTGGCAGCAACGCTTCCAGTGCCAAGTGTTGTGCTTTGTTAATCCGAGTGTATCAAGAGACAACTGCCTTTTGCTATTTGCAGCACGTAAAAATCAATATGCCGCTTACATATCCTCTCTGACTGTCATCCCAGACACTTCTGCTCTGCTATTACGTGCAGAAAGTTTACCTCCTTCAAGCAGAACGCTGTCTATTTTCTGCGTGAACGCGAGAAATGATCCACCATTATGGCCCCGTCTAAATTATAGGTGTGAGAAAAGGATTTATGAAGAATATTGCAGGATGGGTGGCTTGTGAAAACAGAGTACTGGTGCCCGTGAACAAGAATATCCTTTCTATTTCCACAGCCCTAAGCTTTTACTGAGAAGCAAATTTTGTCTGTACACCTCAACTGTAAGGTGTTTGTAAACCTTTCTCTTGGAGGTGTGGTGGCATAGGGGAGGGCAAGATGAGATCCAAGAGCCAAGAATCCCTCGTATACACCTGTCCTATCTGCTCTGCAATACAGTGGGCTATTTCAGGGCTGAAGAGCCAAGCTGTTGTTGAAAGCCATTATGGCCTGTGGGACTTTGGTCTTAAATATAGGATAGAGGGGAGAGATGCATGGAAAGGGAGCAAAGGAGAGAAAAGATGGTTGGAGAAATGACTGAGAATGCCCTATGGAGAATGAGCTGCTTTGAAGTACCTACTGACAAGAACAGTGCATGTAGACACCTAATTTAGATATCTGAATCTTGGACCAGGAAAATCTTGGAAGAAAAAAGCCAACACAGATGCTAAGGGACACACAAGAAGGCTCAGAGGCCAGGTCCCCTTGGCAGAGTGGGGAAACTGAGATACCTGTATAGTGGGAGGGCAGGCGGGCAGTAGAAAATGGGAGCCACCAAGCTAGGTAGTGGGCAAAATCCTCTGCTCTCTGGGATAGATGTGCCACACTGAGGTCTCCCTCATATGGCACGTAGATCCCAGGTCCTCTTCCAAAGTGGAGCAGACAGGGAGGTTGTTGGTTTCTTTCCACCTTTTATCTGCTGCCCCAGAGGCCAGAAGCACCTTGGAAAGACAGAGGTTCAACTCCTTCCCTTTGCAGCAAGGATTTCTACCCAAACCGGGGAAATCTGTTTATCAACAGCCTGCTGGTCCCGGGGATGGGGTGGAAGTGGTCCACCCTCCCTCCCAGTGACGCACAGCAATTCAGCAGCAAAGGCATTGTATTGAAACAATCCCAAATCCTTGCTGGGATAGTGGGCTCACCCAAACAAGCCTGTTCCGTCCCTCCTTGGGTATGGTAGGAGCCATCATCCATCATCCCCTTCTCCATCCCTTGTCCTCTCTGCCAGGTAGATGACACCCACCCCACCTCAGTGCTCATTCCAATTGCCACGAAAGGACCAGGTTTTGCCTGTTTTCCCTTGCTCCATTCCCCCATGGAGGCTGAAAGGAGGCTTTGGGGTTTCTCCAGCCGCCCTTCTCTGCGCTCAGCAATGCCTCCTTGGCTCCGAGCCCACCCCGGCTCCTTCAGGGAGAAGGTGCCAGCAGATGGTGCTCTAAGACCCCAAATTTCGCTCTTCTGCCCCACATCCCAGGGCAGGGGCACGTTTGCAGAAGCACCGCACAGCTCCCTCTCTGCTCAGGTCTTTCCCACCCTGAGCGCTGCACTTTGAAGTTTCTGTAGGGTCAAATGCTCAAGGCAAAGTTTCAAAGTTATTGCATGTTATAACATCTTCCAGCTCCATCCATTCCCCAGGGCCTTTCATACCAGTAGCATTTTTCCATGGCAGGTGGGATATCCAAGCTAAGACAAAAATGATATTAACTTCCTTCATCAGAGTTGATCTGTTCTGGAGAAGCTCAATTAATTCTTTCCTCTAACTTTCTCATAGAAAGTTGTGTCCTGTATCTTATGGCCATATCCTTGCACCGTATTGACTTGAGGACAGTGCTTTGGTGAGGCAGTCCAGCTCAGAGATGTTCCCAGTAATCCGCAGGGATGGACAAAGCCATTTTTCTGATAAAAAGACAGATTTGAAGGCCAAAAAAAAAAGCAGTTCAGCTGATGACAATATACCCCGGACTCGGGCAAAAAAAAGGCAGTGCTGGGGAGAGTGAGTTATAGCTGTGCTCTGTAGTTTATGGGAGAAGTAAGGTCTATGTTTACAAAGCAAGAAGAAGAGTGTAAGAAAGTGCTTTTAAGCTGTCAGCTATTTATGTCCCTTGCTTGTTTAATTATGGACTAAATATAACGGTGGTAGAGACCAGAGACTGCAAGTACTCGATGCCTCAGCACAGAAGCAGTGTGGAAACTTTCAAATTGTGCTGCGCTACTGTTTGATTTACAGTGATGATTTGTGGGGAAGTGATAGCAAGAGGGGGAGGTTTGTCTGCATTACCTGGGGCATGGTTGCTTGGGTGTTTGGGCTGGGAGGTCAGAAAGTAAGTTTTGTGCCCCTGAAGCTTCTGAGTCCTTCTGTTCAATAGCTGCTCTGAATACATTTATCATTTTGCAGGGGATCACCCAAGCTCCCATTACAGTATCAACTCTTCCTTGCTGGAAACTGTCACTGGTGCTCACTCAAGAAAAGCCAACACTTTGCTCCAAAACTCACAACGGGTTGTCGTGGCCAAATCTACCAAAATCACTTTTCCCCACCAAAACGCAGCTGTCTCTGAGATAAACCACAGCAGGGGTTTAATGCTGTGCGAGAAGGCTCGTGCGTCCTGCTGGAACTGTAAGGGGGAATTTGGGTTAGCAGGATATAATTACCAGAGCTGGAGTTTGACTGCGTGACCAGAGCTAACATCCTTTCACTCCAGAAAATTGCTGTGAAGGATTTCAGGCGAATATGGGTCTCGTTCCCGAGGCCCGTCCTGGAGATGGCAGCTCCCGCGGCGGCCGTAGCATCCATCATGGGAGGAGGAAGATGCTGGAAATGCTGCTTAGGAAGCCCCGCAATCCTCCTGCACCTTTGCTTTGGGGAAGAAGCTGGGGGAAGAAACAAGCAATTTGATAGAAAACTGAGAAATTTCGCCAGTAATGAGATAGCTGTCAACACTCCCTGCAGATAACCTCACGACAGCAGAATTATTTATAGACAGAAGTGTCTAAGAACTTATTTTCTTTGACACCGCGGCTGTGGCAGAGTAATGGATAGCTCTACAGGACGGGTTTTCAAAACCACTCAATTAGGAGCAATGAGGTGCAAAATTACATGTGCAAAGAGATGGAAACGTAGATGTTTGAGATGGAAAGGCCCTTGCTGGCCTGCCAGAAAGTTCCCAATGGGGCAGAAGGAGAGCTCTTTTCTAAGCAACCTGATGTAAAATTGTTCTTTTTTATGGATATTTTTGAACATGTGACTATGATGTGAGGAGGCTGAAAACTAGAGATGGTTGGGTTATTGTTTGCTGGTCAGGGTGCCTTTGTATGTATAAATCCCTGTCTATGCAGGGAAATTAGTTGCCTTCTCTCCAGAGGAAGGAAGTTAGAAAGATCCCAAGTTAAAGTGGAGTTCCCATTTTGATTCATTGCTTGGGATAAGAGTAAGGGAAGTTTTTTCCAAAAGGGCATATCCATCTGAGGAGTTCATCAGACAGAGAGCTGATCAGAAACTGCCCCCTTAGAAGTGTGTCCAGCAAGCTCTCCTTATTTGTATTCTTCCTTGCCATTGCTCAAAACCCAAAATAAAAAAAAAAGGTATAACTAGCCTGAAAATTAGTGGTCTTCTCCTTGGGTAAGGAAGCATTTTGCTCGGGCATGGACAGGAAGATTTTATTTTACTGCTAAAAATGTCTTTGTCAGACTGGACAGGTGTTTACTGACCTTCGGGATTTTGAGGAATCCAGGCTTTCAGATCATACTGGGAAAATCATCCCTCCAGTTCTGCTTTTTCTGATTACAGATGAACTTTGGTCCTGAGAGGAGAGTGCAGTTCACTGCTTATTTCAGCTGTTCTCGAGGCTTGTGCTGGCTTTATCCAGCTCTTTTGCTGAATTAATTTCAAGAGAAGGCAGTGGTACCCAGTAAACCCCTTGCAATAGGACATTTTCCTTGCTGTGCTGCAACAGAAGATGATGTTATTTCATAGAATAAAGGGGCAACCACCTATTAAAGGTCATAAAGATGCTCTAGTTATTATTAAGACCAAATTGCAGCTGCAATGATTTGAATGGCAAAGGGCTCCAAATGCAATCAGCTAGCTGGTTGGGTCACCATGAGCATCGTCTGCAGGCTGCCTTGCTCCCCTCTCTTTTCCTTCTTCACCTTCTACTTCCTTGATACATCATCTTCTGTCATCTATACATAAAATCATAGAATGGTTTAGGTTGGAAAGGACCCTAAAAGCCATCTAGTTCCAACCCCCCCTGCCATGGGCAGGGACACCTCCCACCAAACCAGGTTGCTCCAAGCCCCGTCCAACCTGGCCTTGAACACCTCCAGGGATGGGGCAGCCACAGCTTCTCGGGGCAACCTGTTCCAGTGCTTGACCACCCTCACAATGAAAAATTTCTTCCTAATATCTAATCTAAATCTACCTTCTTCCAGTTTGAAGCCATTCCCCCTCGTCCCATCACTACATACCCTCGTAAAATAGTCCTTCCCCAGCTCTCCTGTAGCCCCTTTAGGTAATGGAAGGCCACAGTAAGGTCTTTCCGGAGCCTTCTCTTCTCCAGGTTGAACACCCTCAACTCTTTCATCCTGTCCTTGTAGCAGAGGTGCTCCAGCCTTCTGATCATCTTTGTGGCCCTCCTTTAGACCCGCTCCAACAGGTCCATGTCTTTCCTATGTCGGGGGCTCCAGAGCTGGAATGCGATAAAAAAGTCTTTATTATTATTATTCCATTTGCAGTAGTCATTACAACACTGGTGGTTAATTGTCAGGGCAAAATCCATCCAGCGAGTGCCAGCGGACCCAAGTACAGGCATTTGATCATGTTTTGAAGCTTCAGTCAGCTGTGGTCTGACAGCTTAGGAGTCAGCTGCAGTCCTACAGGAAGGATGGAGAGGTCTGAGTGCTGTCTTCTACTCTTTTGGGGAGTGTTTCTGAGCCCTTGGACAGACAGGTTAAGCAGCAGCTCTGTAGTTTGAGCACTGACTGTGATTTGTGCACTTGGTCTCCTTTTCCTGACCCTACCCAGCATCCTTGTGTTGCTATATGCAAGCCGCATCCATCACAGGGTGGGATTAACTTCATTTTCCTTCGCGCATCTAAATGCAAACATCTCCATTTGATTGAGTCACCCTCAGCTCCCATTTTTAGTCACAGAAGAGAAATGGCCACTGCTAAAGCAATTCTCCAACCCATTTTAGGTGCCTGCCTTAGGATAACTCGGATGATGTATCATGCCTCTAAAATAAAATGAGACAGCTCTTCACTGACTTGGGTCACCTGTCATTGTAGAGTCGGACACAACACTGAATATCCAGTTGCAACGATCATATATTTTATTTTACAAGCAGTGCTCTCTTATATCCTTTTACCTGGATGCTTATCTGTGCGTATACTCTCCCATTCTACTTTTGCCCAATCCGCTCTCACATCACACGTCATCCAGCCAATACAATTGTTGATCATGCGCTGTTCATGCTCTGGGAAAAGACAGGATGTTTGCCACCCCTTATCTTGTTTGCTCGGATCTTCTCAGGATTCTCCAGTCTCTTCAAGGATACACGGGTATCTGCTCAGGGTCAATGTTAAACTTGTATTCTGATCACTCGGACCAGCTGAGGTCTCCCACAGTCGCCTATGCCAATTGTAAAGGATTGAGATACAGCCCCACTAAAACTTCTCATGTGCCAAATCAGCAAAAGGATTTTTCCCCACGCATTTAAGAATGTAGACAAAGATCAATTTAACACAACTGTTAACCCCAGACGTATTGGGCAGTGCTCCATGGGACAATTTGTCCAGTCTGGGTTGAAAACCATTGTCAGAGGACGTATGCTCTTCTGAGTTGTCCTGACATCTGCATTAAAGTCAGTTGATGATGACAAACCCTGTCTTCCATCATGATTCAGACTCAGGGGTGTTGGTTCTTGCTGTCATTGCAGCACCAGGGCACATTGATTTGTCCATCTGGGAGAAGCATGTGTGGGGTGGTGGTGTGTCCTCTCCTGTGTGACCTGTGCCTGATGCTGAAAGGTGCCACGGACCATCTGCCATCCCTGAGCCATTGGCCAAAACTCATAGGGTGATGGGAGACTCCTCATCATGGGAAAATTTATATCTGAGGCCAGTGGTAATAAAAGTGCAGCCAAGACCTCACTTGAGACAATTCCTAATTTTAATCCCCAGTTTTTCCTTTCCTTTAATTGGCTGCTCTTGCCCCATCCCCAGGGCAGAACCCAGGCTGGGGTAGGGGGCTGTGAGAAGGAGGAACCATCCCCTCAGGAATGTCCCAAGCTCCAACCTCTGGGCTTCTGCACAGGAGCCAGGTAGCACCAGCGTGTTGGTCCATGTGCACGTTCTCTGCCTCCTCTCCACATCGTCGCTCCCATAAAATGAGCCGTGTTCAGCCATTACGATGTGGAGCGTGTTGGCGTGGAGGGAGCGCCATTCATCAAGGGGCTCCGGTCTCTACTCATTATGTACCGGCTACAATGAATCAACGTTAATGAGGCAATTTTTGGTCATTTCCACTTTGTATGCACAATAATTATTTTCCGCCCTTGCAAAATAGTCCCTAATTAAACTGATGGATTTCAGCACGGCCTTGCGAGACTAAATCCTGTTCCTCTTTTATAGGGGCAGCGTGGCCTGTGAAATCTGTTGCGACCCAGCTCTGCAAGGCATAACAGAGTTTTCAAATGCCTCCCTTTGCAGGATTTTAATAGGCTGAACAAATGGAAACCTTTGGTGAAACCAAAGATAAAGAAAGAGGTGACATGTCTCTTTCTTGTGGAGACAAAAATAAAAACCAACAACCCAACCCAGCCACCCAACCTAATTCCTTTAAATGCCCAAGGACAATGTGATAGCCAATGTGCGGGAGACCACGATGAAACTCATTAATGCACTCGAGTCAGAAATGCCTGCTCATGAAAATGCAGGCAGGAAACTGCTCTCTTTTTACGGTCTGAATAAAACAAGGGGCGACATTTCTACATATTGCTCCCTGCTCTGTAAACATCCCTGCTGCAAAGGGACTGTCTGAATGCAGCATCTCCAAGCCATTGCGTCGCGCTAGAGTCCTATTTCTTCTCAGCGATAGCTGTTGAACCAAATGGAGGTCAAGAGCCTATTAGTAGTAGCCTTAAAGACAGCAGCGCTTTTCGAGGAGCCTGGAGGAGCCTATGCTTTGAAGCTAAATGGTCTCACTGTCAAACTGTAGCTACTGGCCCTGGAGCAAGCTCTAACAACAGCTTTGGAAACGGTCGGTGCTTGTTGCGTGAGCAGATTACAACAGATCAGCCGAGCCTCAGCAATTTCTTGGGTGCAGACTCATCGCCAGGCAAAAGCAGTGTTATTGGTCTGAACTTAGCTCATGAGTGGAGAGGATGAGCCTAAACTAGACTACCTCTCGCTACCAGGCTGGAAGGTGCAGGCAGGCAGCTGATGAGCTGTATCTCAAGACAGAATAATGTGACCTTGTGCTCGTGTCTTCAGGCATTAGGAACGTGACATCTGTGGCTGCTTGTTTATTTGGGAGTTGAAAGCAAAAGCAAAGAAGGAGTCTAAGGGCTAGTGTAGAGGCTCCTAGCCCATGTGGTCTAAGCCCCAAAAGCCACTTTGTGGAGAGCCTTGATGGAAGACTGATGCAAGCCCACAGCCAGCAGCAAATTGGAGGTGACCCCTCCACACCATGTAGGAACTCATCCCTTTAAAGTCTTCTTCATCCCTTTAAAGTCTCCCTCAAAGTCTCCTGTTCCTAGGGGAAATATAACTCATGCAAGCACTGAAAAGACACGG